GTCAGTTCTCTGGTGGATGCGGGACGCCTTTCGTTTCGGGTCTGATTTTCGTATTTGTTGTTGTGCCTGAATGAGTGTGTGTTTGAGCGAATGCATGGGATGAATTTATATTATTATAGTCCCGCATTGATTTCGTCCAGTTAACTGATGTTTTTGCCACATTTAAGGACCGTGGGGTGTTTTATTACTAATATTATTTTATTTGATTTCTTGTAAATAGTTTTTTTCATATTATAAATACACATTGGGGTTAGATTTTAAATTGTTATTTTATCCCCCGACCCCAGTCAATGAAGTGTACATTTGGGCACTAGTTAGAACTTCATGGAGATTCTGAGGTATTATGGTGGATGTAGTAAGAAAGGTAAGTAAGAAAGTTAAATTGTTTTGGTGTAAGGAATATTGTGATACGTTTGGGTCAGTGTTTGTGTATAGCTAAGTTTAATGTTAAGAGAGAAGAAGACCGTCCTTTTCCCCATCCAATTTTTGCCTTGAACCACATTTTGTATTTTTATAAATAAATAATGCTCTTCACAGTTGGGGTTTAGATTTTAAATTATTGTTTTATTCCTCTCCCCTGACAGTTATGAAACTCACATGTGCGGACTAGTTAGGATTTTCATAGAGACTATGAGGCATTATGGTGGCTGTTATAAGAATGGTAAGTAAAATGCATTGTTTTGGTGTAAGGATTATTGGAGTATTTTGGGGTCAGTAATCGTGGCTAGCTAAGTTTAAGGTTAAGGCAGAAGAAGACCGTCCTTTTCCCCCATTCCCAATTTTGGCCTTGTGCCACATTTCTGTAAAAAAAGCGGAAATAAATATCGCTCTTCGCTACGGTACCTGGACTGTATGAATTTCAGCGCAATACTAGACTTACAGTTGAGCTGGCTACATATAGCCGTTAGATTGGTCCTGATATGGTCGCTCGGCTTCATTCACTTTCACACCACCGTTAGGTTGCCTCCCTGTGTCTTTTCTATAAAAAAAACTTTCACGGTAATTGCTCGGATGAGCTCTTCGATATTGGTGGGGTGTTTATTACTAACATTATTTTGTTTAGCTTCTTGTAAATAGTTTTGTTTTCAGATTGTAAATACACATTGGGGCTAGTTTTTAAACTGTTATTTTATTCCCGGCCCCCGCCCGACAATGAATTGTACTTAAGGGGACTAATTAGGACTTAGGTAGACAATGAGGTATTATGGTGGATGTAATATGTAATATAAGTAACAATGCGTTGTTTTGGTGTAAGGAGTATTGTGGTATGTTTGGATCAGTGTTTGTGTCTAGCTAAGTTTAAGGTTAAGACAGAAGAAGACTGTTCTTTTCCTTTCTCCCCATTTTGGCCTTGTGCCACATTTTGTATTTTTACAAATAAATAATGCTTCTCGCTGTTGGGGTTTAGATTTTAAATAGATATTGTTTTATTCTCCTCCCCCGACAGATATGAATTGCACATATGCGAACTAGTTAGGATTTTCATCGAGACATAGAGGCATTATGGTGACTGTTATAAAAATGGTAAATAAGAATACATTATATTTTTTTTTTGTGTGTGTAAGGATTATAATATTATTTTATAACTATTATAACTATTATACTATATTTGGGTCAGTGATCGTGGTTAGCTAAGTTAAGACAGATGAAGACCGCCCTTTTCCCCATTCTTCATCTTTGGCCTTGGGCCGACAATATCTGTAAATAAGCGTAAATAAATATCGCTCTTCGCTATTGGGGTCTGATTTTCGTATTTGTTGTTGTGTTTGAGTGGGTACTTGGAATGAATAAATGTTTTATATTATTAGAGTCCTGCATCGATTTCATCCAGTTAACTTTTGTTTTTGCCTCATTTGTGGCTTGGCAGGGATTACTACTAAGATTATTTTGTTTGGTTACTTTTAAATAATTTTGTTTCTCAATTTTAAATATACATTGGGGTTAGATTTGAAATCGTTGTTATATTCACCTCCCCAACAGGCAGTGAATTGTATTAGGTTGGTGCAATAATAATGACGTAATAATGTCGTTTTTTAACGTATTTTTTAACGTCAAAAACCGACATTATTACGTCATTATTTTTGCACCAACCTAATACATATGAGAACTAGTTAGAATTTTCATAGAGACAATGAGATCATTTGGTGGATGTAGTAAGTATAGTCAGAATGTGACACAAGGTCAGTTTTTAAAGTGGGGAACCCGAATGTTTCCACTCGGGCCGCTGGTCCAAAACTGGTCTTAGCTGGTCATAGCTTGTCCAAGCTGGTCAGAGCTGGTCTAAGCTAAGTCATAGCAGTGATACTTACCAGCCCAGGGACGATCCCTGTGCCAGGTAAGGAGTAAGTAAGGCAACAAAGATTGCGTTGTTTTGTTGTAAGGAATATTGTTGTGTGTCTGGGTCAATGTTTGTAGCTAGCTAAAGTTTAATGTTAAAACAGAAGAAGAACGTCCTTTTCTCTCATTCCCCCTTTTTGGCTTTGCGCCACATTTTGTATCATTGTACAAATAAATATCGCTTTTCGCTGTTGCGATTTAGATTTTAAATTGTTGTTTTATTCCCGTCCACCAGACAAGAATTTTATATATGGGGATTAGTTAGGTCTTTCGCAGAGACATTGTGGTATTATGGTGAATGTAGCAAAATGGTAAGTAAGAATGCATTGTTTTGGTGTAAGGACTATTATGGTATATTTATGCCAGTGATCGTAACTAGCTAAGTTTAAGGTTAAGACAGACAAAGAGCACCCTATCCCCCATTACCATATTGGCCTTGTGCCACATTTCTGTAAAAAAGCGGAAATAAATATCGCTCTTCGCTACGGTACCTAGAATTTTTGAATTTAAGCCTAGCACTAATTTAGCGTCGAACATTTTACAGTTGTGCTAGCTAGATGTAGCCGTAAGTTCTATCCTAATAGTCTCTTCTCTCTTACTTCCCGTTTGTGGAACTTCCTTCCGATTCCATGCTTTCGAGCCAACTATAATCTGCAAAAATTCGTTAAATAAACTTAAGGATCTTACTGGATGATACTGGTTAGCATGGAATTTGTTCATAACGTTCATATCGATATCGTGACTACTAAACGTGCCCTTATTCCAGGCTAAATCCATTAAATATGTATAGTTTACTTAGTACCCCAGGTATTTCCAGATGTCATCAATTTACATTTGAGCTGGCTGGATGTAACCGTAAGTTCTATGCCAACCTTTTTTTCACGCGCACTTCTCGCTTGTGGAGCTCCCGTCCGGCTCCATGTTTTCCACCAACATTAATCTGAGAAAATTTAAATGCAATGTCAATCGCTATCTACTCTCCTCCTGATTACTCTTTCCTCTTCCTGTTCATTCATGTTTCTGTTCCTAATTTTTCCACACCCTGTAACCTCTTGTCTCTTAGTGGCTTTACTACCTTGCATGGGGTGAGACTAATTAAAAAACAAAAAAGAGATGTTTGTCAATAGTTTTTTTGGTCATAGTCTTGTATCTAAACCCACTAGTATATAAGACGCAGGGTTATTATACGAGGAAAAATTCCGTCTACTATGGTGCTAAGTATCTCGACTTTATGAATTTAAGCAGAGTACAAGAATGGTGACGAGATCTCATCAATTTACAGTTGAGCTTGCTACATGTAACCATCAGCAATAGTACTGGCCCTGATCCGGTGTCTCTTCATCAGTCACTTTTTCTTATTATATTTTCATAGTAATTGTTCAGATGGACTCTTCGCTATGGTACTGAGACTTTAAGAATTTAAGCACAGTACAAGAAGAGAGATGGGATCTCATTAATTTACAGATATAGATGTAACCGTAAGTTCTAAGCTAAGGGTTTCTTCTCTTGCACATCTGGTTTGTGAAACTCCTTTTCAGCTCCAAGTTTTCCAGCCAACTTTAATCTGCAAAAATAAACACAAATGACAAAGACCCTTTGCTAATGTCTTATGAAAACTGAACGTACTCAGGTATTGGACTATATATATATTTAACCTTTCGCAGAAGCCAGAAAATTTTCCATAAAAGAGAAATTAAAAAAAAGGAATTTTAAAATAGAATTTTCATTGGCCTTAATGAAAACTAATATATATATATATATATATATATATATATATATATATATATATATATATATATATATGTATGTATGTATGTATGTATGTATGTATGTAAAATAAAATGACAATAGGAAAAACTAGTAATTGCTGACGCGTTTCGTCCAATGTGGACTTTATCAAAGCAAAATACGAAATGAATGTAATTGAACAAGGTAACT